TTAAGCGTCTGCCTTTGGCTCAGGTCATGATCCCAGGGTCCGGGAATCAAGCACTGCATCAGGTTCCCTGTTCAGCGGGGAGCCTGCTTCTCCCTCTCCCTCTGCTCCTCCCCCTGCTTGTGCTCGTTCTCTCTCTAATAAATAAATAAAATCTTTAAAAAATAAAAAAAACAGAATATGAAGACATAAAGCCGCAGTAATCAGGACAGCAAGATACTGGCATAAGGATAAGCAAACAGACCCAAAGGAATAGAACAGAGGATCCAGACACAGACCCAAGCACACACTACTACTTGGCTCATGACAGAAGTGCAGTAGAGGAAACAATGGACATTTCGACATATGGTGCTGGGTTAAGTGGACAGTCTCAAGGGAAAAAATAAACCTCAAACTTCACCTCACAACATTCACAACAATTCATCAGAACCTAAATGTGAAGAAAACAAAACAGCTTCTAGAAGAGCACAAAGGAAAATATCTTTGTAACTCTGGGCAGGCAAGGTTTAATATAGAATATTCAAAAGCACCAACAATTTTTTAAATGATATATTAAGCTTTAGTAAAATTAAAGAACTTTTATTCATCAAAAGATGCTATTATAAAAGTGAAAAGGCAAGTCATGCATAAAGTATTTGTGATACAAAGGTCACATACCCAAAATATATAAAGAATTCCTACAAATCAGTAAGAAAAACACAGGCAACCCAATTTTAACATAGGCAAAAACTTGGACAGGCACTTCACAAAAAAGAATAGCCAAATAGCCAAAATGCATATGAAAATATTTTTAGTCATCAGGAAATAATAAAACCATGAGATACCACTACCCGCCTACCAGAATCACTGAAATTGTATAAACTCACAAGACGAGGTGTTGGCAAGGGTGGACTTCTCACACACTGCCAATAGGAGTATAAACTAGTACCACCATTTTGGAAAATTGTTTGGCAGTATTGGTAATAATCCAGTACTGGAAACAGCCCAAATGTCCATCAATGGGAGAACAAACGCATAAATGAAGGAATGACTGCATAATTAAACTGTAGTATTTTCATATAGTATAATACTCTATCACACTGAAATGAAGCAACCTACTGCTTCACCTAACAGTGAAATACTGAAAGCAATCTCTGAAAAGAGGAACTTCACAAATCCATGTTCAGCAGAAGATCAAAAAGAAATAACATGCATAACCATAATATCATTTATATCATATCAAAAACAGGTAGGGCGACTGGGTGATTCAGTCAGTTAAGCGTCTGCCTTTGGCTCAGGTCATGATCCCAGAGTCCTGGGATCGAGTCCTACATCAGGCTCCCTGCTCAGCGGGGAGTCTGCTTCTCCCCCTGCTCCTCCCCACCACTCATGCTCACGAGCTCGCACTCTCTTTTTCTCTCTCTCTCACAAAAATAAATAAAATCTTAAAAAAAAACATACTAAAAAAAAGAAAACAGGTAAAACTCAATGTAATGGACAAAGAATAATCTTTTCAAAATATGGTGGAAACAATTCAACATTCATATGCCAAAAAAAAAAGAACCTCGACCAGTATCTCATACCTTACAGAAAAATTAACTCCAAAATAATCATAGATCTGGAAGCCTGCGCGGCTCAGGTGGTTAAGCATCTGCCTTCAGCTCAGGTCATGATCTTAGGGTTGTGGGACTGAACCCCACATCGGGCTCCTTGCTCAGCGAGGAGTCTGCTTCTCCCTCTACCTGCCACTCCCCCTGCTCGTGCTCTCTCATTCTGACAAATAAATAAATAAAACCACAGTGAGAAACCAGTATAGCTAACACCAGAAAACAGCCTCCCATATGATGACAGACATCAGAATAGTGGATAACTGTAGAAGGGAAATGGGGGTGAGGGGAGTGTACAAAGGGGCTTCTTCTATGATGCTAACAATGTTTGATTTCTTGATCAGTTCGGTGAGTCACACAAAGGTGTTCATTTTGTAAAAGCTATATCCTTAATGACCATTTTTTACATGTAAATCATACTCCATTTAATAAGTACACATTAAAAAAGAAAGTAACCTCCCTTAAAAGACTCAACATGTAGGTGGCTTCACCAGTGAATTCTACCAAACATTTAAGAAAGAAACACTAATCATTATTAACTCTTTCAAAAAATACGTTCTTATTTAATGTGGCCAGCATAACCTGATACTGAAACTCGACAAGAACACTACAAAAAAGTTAAATTACTGAGACAACCTTTCTCATGGACAGAGTTGCAAAAATCCTAAACAAAATATTAACAAACTGAATCCGATGATGTATTTAAGTTGGAATTCATTTCAGAAATGCAATTAACATTTGAAAATGATCAATGTAATTCATCAACACGAACAGGCTAAAGAAGAAAATTCATATGATTATCTCAGTAACAGGAAAAATGTTTGATAAATAACAAGATTTATAAGAAACAACGCACTTGCTTTCAGCAAGGGAGGAAGAGAAAGAAACTTCAGTCTGATACCGAGTGATCTACAAAACAAATTTACAAGCTAAGATCATACCTAACAGTGAAACTTTCAAAGTAATCTCTGGAAAGGGGAAAAAAGACAAGGATGTCTTCTGTTACCACTTCTTTTCAACATTCTACTAGAAGTCCTAGACAGTGTAATAAGAGGAGAAAAGTTATAAAGGATTGGAAAGGAAGAAAGAAAACTGCCATTATTCACAGTCTACATAATTATACAGTTAACCATTGAACAACACAGGGGTTAGGAGTGCTGACACCCCTTGCAGTCAAAAATTTGCATTTAACTTTTGATTCCCACAAAACTTTGCTAATAGTCTATTGGGATTTTGGGGTGGGGGGTTGGTTTTGTTTTGTTTTTTTTTTAGAGGAAGAGTGGGAGAGCACCCCCGTGAGTGGGAGGAAGGGGCAGAGGGAGAGGAAGAATCTTAAGCAGGCTCCATGCTCAGCACGGAGCACAACATGGTGCTCAATCTCACAACCCTGAAATCATGACCTGAGCCAAAATCAAGCATTAGACACCTAACCGACTGACCTACCCAGGCACCCCATAGCCTATTGTGGACTGGAAACCTTACTGATAACATAACTATCGATTAACATGTATTTTGTATGTTATGTGTATCATATATTGTATTCCACAATAAAGTAAGAGAAAGGAAAATATTAAGAAAATCACAAGGAAAATACATTTACAGTACTATACATACATTCATTGAAAAAAATTCCACAAGTGGGCCTGCATAGTTCAAACCCGTGTTGTTCAAGACTCAACTGTATATGTAAAAAATCTGAAAGAATCTACTTAAACTATTAGTCTCAAAGGATAAATCATTAGCCTCTACAAATAAACTAAAGTCCAAAAGAATCTACAGGTAAACAAGAGAATGAATAAAGCTGAGTATAATTAAATCTTATACAGCAATGAAAATGAATGTGTTACTACTACACACAACAACTTGAGTGAATCTCACAGAAAGTGGAGAACACACTAGAAAGAATACATACTGGAGTCCTCCATTTATACATTCAAAAACAGGCAAATTAATCTCTAATGTTAAAACTCCTTGCCGTTAGTGGTTACCTTTAGAAAGGAAGGAGAGTAATTTAGAAAGGACTGGTAGGGAGTTCAGGGGAGTTTCTAGAGTCTGTAATATTTTTCTTGACCAGGGTGACAGTTCATAGGTGACCACAGGTGTGTTCACTTTGTGAAAATTCACCGAGCCACATGCTTTCGATTTGTGCACTTTAACATATGTATGTTGTACCTTAAGTTTCAAAAACATTTACCATAAATTTTTCTAATCATACTCCACTGCTTAAAACATTTTAATGGCTTTCCATAGCCTAAAAGTAAAATCTAACCTGTTAGGCATGGCATATGATATAGCTCCTACCTTTAACTTAATCCTCACCTCTGTCCATCCCACATATACACTTTATATTCTAACTTAACCAAATTATTTACAGGCCCAGTATGTGCTATGATGCTTCAAACCTTCACGTCTTTTTTTTTTTTCTAGCAATCTCCACACTCAACATGGGGCTTGAACTCGTAACTCCGAGATCAAGGGTCACACACTCCACCAACTAAGCCAGCCAGGCACCCTCCAAACCTTTAAATATTGTTTCCACTGCTTGAAATTCTCTCCCTCTTTACACCCCACCCACACTCACCATACCCTGCCCCTGCAATTTCCACCCAACTTGGATATTAGCTCCTCCAAGACCCTTCCTATCTCTGTTGCCCAAAGTTAATGGCTCTCTTTTCTATACTCAGTGATCTATTATTGCACGTATCAACCTACAGTGTTAATTGTTTATATGTCTGTCCATCCTCTATTATATTAGAACAATTCAAGCACAAGGTCTATATTTTCCGCTTGGCACATGGAAGCCACTCAATAAATTTCACCATTATATATATATCCTTATATATTAAGACAGTAAAGCCTTCTAGGAGGAAGCCTAAGTGTTTCATTTTCTCCATAGTACGTACATGCCACAGCAATGAGCACACAACAGGTACACAACAGTGATGGTTTAGTTAGTAGAACCTGTGCCAAAACTCAGTTCCATAGACAAAATACTCTCTTCAAACCATACACTCACCTAAGGTAAGGTATTCATGTCCTACCAGAAGTGTAAAAAGGTCATCTTTCTTTCACACACACACATTACCAGAGTTTTAAGCTAAAGAAACCAATTAAGATCACCTTGTCGAAAGCTTTAGGAAAGAACCTACACTACACCCAAAGGAATTAAGTGGCCCAAAGGGCCAAGACTAGGACTCAGATCCCCTGGCTTCTCATTTAATGCTCTCTCACAATCCATGCAGCCTCCCTTTTGGACTACGTGACTTCTCAAAGTGGTACAATTGCTCTACTACTTTTTTTTTTTTTTTTTTTGCTCTTCTACTTTAGATTAACATGGTTAGTATCCTCATTTCCAAGATTTTTTTTAAATTTCATTTCAAAATTTGGCTTTAATACATGAATACTAAAAGTACCAACAAGTTCAACCAAGAAAACACCATTTCCAGTTCCAATATCAAGCACTGAAGCATCCAATGGAATCTTGCGTTTTTGCATCCACCTTATTAGCCGATTCATACTCTCTTCTCCAAACCTATTAGAAACAGAGAATCCGTTAATCAAATACCAGAGGAATATAGAGCAAAGATTACAACTATATTCCATTTAAGCAGCTTATTCAATATGCTCAATTAAGCCTTTTTTGAAAGTAAGAAGTAGCATCTGTCACTGCTTAAGTTTCACCTGTACTATTATTTAGGAGAGAATGCCCCCAAGACTAGAATAGAACCTTTATAGAAGAGAACCTTATCTAAGGTCAATGTTACTTATTAATGTTTCACTACATCAGCATTAACACTTGTATATGTTGATGGCTCAAAATTTTATTGCTTATTGAAAAAGGACGATCACAGGATGACAGCAACTTCCTAATACAGGTTTCCCCCACTAACTGCAAGCAGAGCATTGCTATGAAATCTTTCCTAAGGCAAAATGGCACAAAGCGAAGAAGCAATGACCAGTAATTCATGTGGTGAAATTTTCTGAGCATTCCCAGGCCCCAAAAATAACCTCTCTTACGCCTGATACCGCAAGACACATCTTGCTAACAGAGGCACAAAATTAATCAAGATAAAGCACAGACGCTCACAGACACTGTTCAAAGCTATGGCAGCCTTATGCTGGGATGCTGAGTGTAGTTCCCCAGGGAAGGAGCTTGGGAGCACCACTCTTGCTGCTAGGGGTGTGCGCTGCCTCCCTAATGGCTCCCTGAAAAACAAACAGTGAACGCTATTTTTGCTTTTCACCTTTCTTTGTACAAGCGAAAATCTTCGGATTTCTTTTAGTTAGCAAGAACAGGTACTACTGTTAAGTCGTTCATAAAAGCCAAGAGGCATAATGTGGATTTTAAAAAGCAGGGGATACCTGTATTCTCATCAGATTTAAGTCTGGACCATTAAAAGAGAGAGAAGAGAGAGATTCTTTAAATCTACCCGCTAAAGCCAGAATCAGCCCAAGGTTCCCAAGACTTTCAGGTTGTCTTTCTTTGGGGGTAAGCACTTAAAAGACACACATACACAGACACACACACACACTCACTCACCCTTCTGAATCATAATTCCACTATTTTTCTAACTCACCAGATTTCTCCTGTATCTCCATATTCTTGAAAAGTTTGCAGCTCTCTCTCATAGACAGCATCCCAACTATATAAATAATCAAATGCAAAGCAAGATTCTTGAATCAAACTGAATTACGACTTAAATATGTTTCTAATACATTGTAGGTTTTTAGGACAGAAGTTTAAAACATTATCAGTATTTTCAGTAAGTGCACGTAGATCAATCTCTTAACATCTTTACGTTAAAAGAATGAAAGACACAGATAAGCAGAATAAGTTTACACATGTAAAGCACTAAGTACAATACCTGACATGTAAAAATACTATATATTTTAGCTTAAAAAAAACATACAAGCAAGTATGTGTCCAAGGATCCCTAAATCCCAAAGTCCAAAACTTTCACTGTACAGGCATAGTGTCATTATAGCACATTTCAGTCTAAAACGTGCAGACACAAAGATTTCCTACCAATACAGTGGTTCCTCAGAAGGGAACTCACCAAACACAAGCTCTGCCTAAAGGTTAAATTCTAAGTTTCGGATTTACTCCTTGTAAGCATAGTTTCCCCTCCCCATCACGTGCCTTCTCTTCCTACTTCACCTCTCTAGAATCGCTGCTCCCTCTCTGTCCTCCAACTCACCTCTCGTCCTTACCGATTCCCTGTTATTCGTTCACCCATCTATTAATTCGTTCATAATTACTGAACAGCGATTTAAGGTCAGGGCACCTCCTCCTCGCTCGCTCCTCAGGTCACCCCTTACTCCCACCCCTTGCAGCTCCCACGTCCCCACCCCATCCCTTGCCCACCAACCCTACGTCGGCCCCACCCCCTCGCCCTTTCCCCAAGCCTGCCCCTCTGGTTCAAGACCCCCACAAGGCCTCCCCAAGAGCTTGAGCCCATTCCGCACCTCACGAGCCCTTTACACGTCGACTCCCTGAAATGCCTCTTAGCCGCCCCCAGGGTGGCCCCTCGGGATTCCAGCCCATCAGTCCCCTCTTAGCTTCCTCGCGTCACGCCCCCAAGGTCGTCCCCACCTTCCGAGGCCCTTTCCCCCTTCTTATCCCCTCCCCGGGGCCCAGCCCGGGGCGTGCTGCTCACGCTCCCTGCCCGATGCCACACTCACTGCTCTCGGGTCCCCAGCGCCGACGGGGCGAAGCCATCCTCTCCGGGACTGCCCCTTCGGCACCGCTCCGCGGCCCCAGTGCCGTCCCCGTCACCGCCGCCGCCGCCGCCGCCGCTACCGCCGGCGCCCGAGTTCATCCCGCTCCGCGCCCCGGAGGGCCGTTGGGGCCACCATAGAGACGAGGCACGGGCAGAGCGGACTCGTGGGTGGGCGCCTCTAGGCGGCGGGAGGCCACCCTCTCTACTAGTCCTGGCCTCCACTTCCTTAGCTCGGCCTCGGTCTTGAGTGGAGGTTCGCAAACCCAAGCGTGGACTGAGGGCTCCTCGCCTCCCTCTCTGCCCACCAACGCCAGAGTCAGATGCACCCCCTTCCTGAGGTGCCCGCCTAAGCGCCACTACATTTGGGGACTGCTGTTTGTAAGGACTGTGAAAAAGAAACAGGTCCAAAATGGAGTCAGTTTTGCTAAACCTAAGACTTAATATCCAACTTAACTGCAGTTTGAGCCTCTTCCAGGAATGGAATTTTAAACCAATCAGTCTGGGATTTTTCTGGTGGGCACTAGTGAGGTAATCTGCCTGGTAAGACCCCCTGCCTTCCCTTAAGGGAAAGTGATCTTGCCTGAAATAATCCATTCTTTTTATTATTATTATTATTATTTTATTGAAGTATAGTTGACAATGTTACATTCGTTTGAGATGTTGAAATAATCCATTCTTAACATACTAGCCGCCCCCCTTCTGCTGCCTATAAAAACCTTCCATTTTGTACAATTCCACAGAGCTCCCTTCTACTCGCTAGACTGGGTGTTGCCCAATTCGTGAAACATTGAATAAAGTCAATTAGATATTTAAGGTTACTCAGCAGTCGGGTTGCCAGGGTGGCCCAATCTGTTAAGCCACTGACTCTTGATTTCAGCTCAGGTCATGAGCTCAGGGTAAGGAGATGGAGCCAGGCATCGGGGTCCACCCTCAACTCACAGTTGGCTTGAGATTCTCTCTCACCTCTCTTTCTCTGCACCCATGCTCCGCCGCCCCAGCTTGCACGTGCACTCTCGCTCTCTCTCAATAAATAAACAAACAAAATCTTTATAAAAAAAGTCACTCAGCTGCATTTTTTTTTTTAAAACAGGACTACTGAATGTACTGTATTTTGAAAAGGCTGACGATGGGAAAACCACACTACCTGAAGCCAACACTGCTCACTGAAAATGCACAAATCACCTCATGCATGCACGTCGTGGTAAGATCTGGAAAGTGGATGGGGCAGTCCACCGCATTATTTGGCCTCCTGGTCAGAAATTTAATTTGTAGCTGGGATTCTGCCTTAAAAATAGCATGCTGCCCTCTTGACATCACTGCTGGACATGGGAATTTATGCCCAGAGAAATGACTGCCTTACAACAACACCACATCACATCCTCCCCATCCCCCCAAAATACTCCAATCATGGGGGTCAGAGTGTTGTGGAAGAAAGTGATGGGAGTCAAGATGCCTGGATGCCTGTCTCAGCTTTGCCCCTAACCAGGCACCTGACCTTGTTCAAGACTCCTAACGTTTGTGTGCTTCAACTTCCTCACCTGCACCATGCCTGAAATAGACGGTGACTGGTTCTACCAGGTTGCTCCCAGCCAATGAACCTGAGATTCATCTGCCTCTTGGTTTGACTACCATTGGGAGTTCTGCAGTATAATGTGAGAAATCTTATGCGCCAAAGCTCGGCGGGGGGCCGGGGGGGGGCGTTCTGTAGCAGCAATGAACTACTGACAGTCCAATGTCCTAGGCAAGGCTCTCAAAAGCCCCTAGGAAGGCTGTCTTCCAACCAGAAGGAATGTTTCCTAGGCCACGTTTCTGTTGACTCAGCAGACAGAAGTCCAATAAGTCCCTAGAGGTAAACAGCACCAACAGTTCACAGAAACTCCAGTTAGGACCGAATGTGCATCTCCCTCTATACAAGATGTTCCAAGATATGCCAGCAACCACTGGTGATAGAATACAGTAAAAGACAGATGGGGATCCATGTGTATAGTGATTAAAGGACTCAAGAAAGAACATAAGTAACCTTATTACAGTGTAATAAAACCACCAAATGCCACAGGCAATTAGTGCTGCCCTGGGCAAACGGTTGTTTTGACCTTTTCTAGGTTCTAGATGCTAGAGAAAGCAAGCTTGAATGTGACTAAGTCTTAAAAAGTTTTAGGTTCTAATGAAAGATAAGGCGATCTTCAATCTGGTGTCTTGCCAACACTGAAGATGTTTTTGCTGTGTGTGATGAACGCTATAAACAGTTGTTGGTATGGAGCCCTGGAAAAACCCTCTGTTTATACAGAGCTCCTGCTCTGGCTCCAGGGTTACTCTGGCTGTTTAGTCCTGACGGCTGTGTGGGGCACCACCTCTGATCACCCAGGGCAACAGGATTCTTTTTTTTTTTTTAAAGATTTTATTTATTTATTTGAGAGAGAGAATGGGATAGAGAGAGAGAGAGCACGAGAGGGAAGAGGGTCAGAGGGAGAAGCAGACTCCCTGCTGAGCAGGGAGCCCGATGCGGGACTCGATCCCGGGACTCCAGGATCATGACCTGAGCCGAAGGCAGTCGCTTAACCGACTGAGCCACCCAGGCGCCCAGGGCAACAGGATTCTTAGTGGAGGGCGGAGAAGCTCAATTAGAGTGGAGCTGCCCATCACCAGGGAGAAGGTGGAATGTGCCAAGGAACACAGTCTTCTCACCAGGTGTCCGTTACATAGGCAGGAGGAGGCTCTTCGGGTGCTCTGGGTTGCCTCGTCCTCCTCTCATGTTACCAATCCCTGCAGCCCGGAACCCTGCTTACCTACAACTTCCCCGAAACTGTGCTTTCAAGAGTTCTCAAACACTTCCCATTTGGCAAACCAAGGGTCAAGTTCCAGGCTTTACCTTCCTTGATCCTCTGTTAGGGATCAACACCACATCGCTTAGCACGCCATTCTTGAAAACCCCTCCCTATTTTCCCAGCACCACCCGCTCTTAAGTGAGCCTTTTAAAAAGGGAGGTAGGCACGCCGCTCTAGAGTTGGACTCGGGTTTTGAGCCCTGACCCTATCATGTGGGACTACAGGCAAGTTCTTCAAGTTCTCAGGGCCTCAGTTTGCCCATCCTTTCAGAATAGTGCCCCTGGCGTAGGGCCACTGTGGAGATTAAATGAGATAGTTCCTGTGAAATCTTACGTGCCTGACACATGGTAAATGCTCAATAAATGCCAGCACACTTTCTTCAGTTATAAAATAGAGTTTAAAATAGGTCTGTTTGGGGTGCCTAGGTGGCTCAGTCATTTAAGCGGCTGACTTCCGCTCGGGTCATGATCCCAGGGTCCTGGGATTGAACCCCTGCATGGGCTCCTTGCTCAGCGGGGAGCCTGCCTCTCCCTCTCCCTGCTGCTCCCCGTGCTTGTGCTCTCTCTGTGTCAAATCAATAAATAAAATCTTTAAAAAATATAAAAATCAAAAAATAAAGAAAATGCATCTATTTCAGGGCACTGTTAGGAAGATTGAATAAGTGCATAGAACGTACATGTAAAGAGCTTAGCACAGAGCCTGACAGATGGTCAGTGTTCAGTAAATGTTAGGTATTTTTCTTACCATTAGTGACTTCCAATTTCATCCTCTATCCCCAGCTCCAGGCTTTGACTTCAGTGGCCTTGATGTCCCTTGTTATGTGAAACTCAACCTGTTCCAAACTGAACTTTCTTGCGCTGCCTTCTCCCGCAGCTCCCAGGCCTCCAAACCCTGTCTTCCCGCTGTTCTCCTTCCTTTGGCCCCTGACCATCCTACCATCGGCCAAAGCAAAGCATCATCCTTGTCTTTGCCCCACCCTCCACACACAGCTCCTCCTGGTCTCGGGGCTCAGGGGCGTTTTTGCCACTGCTCTGCTTTCTCGTGGGCTACTTCAGGCTCACAGCTCCCCGGGGCCACCGCGGCCCCTTCCCAGTAGACCCCTCCCTCACACCATTCAGCTCTAGGCCACGTCTTTGGTCCCAACTATCCTCTCTTCCCCTCTCTCCCTCCACAGAGGTCCCCAAAATTCAGCCGGGTTTTTCTTCTCCTCTGATGCCGGACACCACCCATTCCTTCCCTTTGCATTTTCTCTCCTGATCACCATAGACTATGGAGTCAAGCCATCTTGAACTTCAATCACAACTGAGTCCCTACCAGGTGTGACCTTGCGCGAGTCATGTTAGGTCCCAGTTTCCTTGACTACCCAATGGGCATGATCCAAATGAAACTGGACTTTCTTGTTTCTACTTTCAGACCCATCATAGCAGAGTGTGGCATTTGCCTGCATATAGGCACTTACAGAAATGCATTGTTTTGTTTTGATAAATATATAGAAATGGAATCTTACCATCTGCATTGTTTGCAAGTTGCGTTTTAACTTAACAACATTGTGGCGATATGGGACGCCTGGGTGGCTCAGTCAGTTAAGCATCTGCCTTCGGCCCAGGTCATGATCCCAGCGTCCTGGGACTGAGTCCCCCTGGAGATACACCAGGAGGCAAATCAAAGATGAATTCCTGTCTTCATGCAGTTCAGAATATGCCAGGCGAGGAACAAAGGCAATGTACTGGAGAAATGAATAAAATAGAGATGATGTGAAGTGGTGATGAGTGGGAAAGGGGAAGGGAAAACAGGCGAGGAAGCCTGAGAATGTCAGGTGAAGGCGGCAACCCGGTTGGAGGGTAATGAGTAAGGATTCTCTGGCAGGTGGCACCAAGTGAAAACCTACAAGAGGTTGTCATAGGTTGTATCCCCAGGGAAGCAGAGTCTAACACTGAGATGAACATGAAAGAAGTTTATTAGGGAGTGCTCTCAGGATCACCACCTACTGAGGAAGGGAAAGAAACAGAGCTGGATGGAGGAAGTGGTTGGGCTGGGGTACCACTACAACAACACCTCAGCTAGCACCCCTTTCCTGCACAGAGCGTTCTGGAGCTGAGATGACCCTTTGGAATTGCCCCAAGTTGGAGGGAAAGAGGTGGACCTTCATCTATCTACATGGATAAAGCCCTGAATGTTGGTTGCCCTGAAAAGGGGGAATGACTTTAGGCAATGTCTCTTTCTTACCCTGAGGGTAATCGAGGAGAAAGCAAACAACTTCTCCAGCCACTGGGATGATAAGTCTATCAATCCCAC